GGCTACTAGAAGTACTAGAGAAACTACCCTCTCGTCTCAGCATACAGTTCCTAGAACCGCCAATCCCCTAATCTCGATTACCACGTTTCTGTCTACGTGGTTCCTCTCTCTCTCTCTCTCTCACTGCTAGACTTTACTTTATCCTCATAGCGGATTCCACCAATCTAACAAAATCTGAATGAGCATATCCAACCACCGCTGTTCTGATCCTCTCTCTAAGGCCATGCTCAAATTTTCTACATTTATCTTCCTCACTATCTACAATACCCGGAGCGAACCTAGCAAGTTCTATAAATCTGTTTCTATAGTCCTCGATGGTCATATTCCCCTGAGTCAACATCAAGAACTCTCTCTTTTTGTTTTCCCGATAAACCCTAGGTTAGTAACGATCTAAGAACTCCTGTCTAAAATCAGTCCAGGTGGGGTTGTGGTACTTTTCTCGAGCAGACTGCCACCAGCAATCAGCTCCCCTTATTAACAGAAATTCAACAAATCTCACTCTTTCCTCATCAGTACANCACTGTAGCCCTATGGATGGCTAACCAGTCCATGCCTAAAATCACATCAAAATCATGTATGTTCAACAGAATCAGGTCTGCCTCCAATACATACCCATCAACCATTACTCCACAACCATTAAACCCATACTCTGCTAATAAGGTCTCGCCAACTGGGGTAGCCACAACTAATTTATACTCCAAGGGTTCTAAAACACGATCTGAATATTCCGCAAATGCATATGATATGAAAGAATGAGTGGAACCAGGGTCAATCAAAACACGAGCTTCATGGCTAAAGATAAATAACATATCAGTCACCACCTCGGGGGTAGCCTGGGCCTCTTGTTGGGTCATGGAAAAAACTCGAGCCTGAGTATAAGGTTGTTCAGATCCTCTCTGTCTACCTCTGCTACCACGATCAGTACTAGACTCGCCTCTGCTGCCTGTAGTGGACCTTCCTATAGGTTGGGACCTCTGTTGTCCCTGAACACGACTACCCTCTCCCTGAAAGCGCTGTTGTATGGTCCTTTGCGATACACTCCCACTCTGAGATAAACTAGGGCACTCCCTTTTAAAATGCCCAGGCTGTCCACAATGATAACAAACTGGGGTCACTCCCCAACATTGCCCCGCATGAGATCGGCCACACTGGTTACACAACTGTCGCTGGTTTCCACCAGAATTTCCACTGATTGATTGTTTGCCACCAAATTGTCCTTGCCTCTTGTTACTCCCGGAACCCTGGCTATTGGATGTACCAGAGAAACTACCCTCTCGTCTCGGCATACGGTTCCTCGAACCACCAATCCCCCAATCTCGATTACCACGTTTCTATTTGCGTGGTTCCTCTCTCTCTCTCACTGCTAGACTCTGCTCTATCCTCATAGCGGATTCCACCAATCTAACAAAATCTGAATGAGCATATCCAACCACCGCTGTTCTGATTCTCTCTCTAAGGCCATGCTCGAATTTTTTACATTTATCTTCCTCACTATCTACAATACCCTGAGCGAACCTAGCAAGTTCTATAAATCTGTTTCTATAGTCCTCGACGGTCATATTCCCCTGAGTCAACATCAAGAACTCTCTCCTTTTGTTTTCCCGATAAATCCTAGGTTGGTAACGATCTAAGAACTCCTGTCTAAAATTAGTCCAGGTAGGGTTGTGGTACTTTCCTCGAACAGACTGCCACCAACAATCAGCTCCCCCTATTAACAGAAATTCAACAAATCTCACCCTTTCCTCATCAGTACATGCCATAACCCTGAATACTTTCTCAGTACCCTCTAACCATCTCATCGCTACCATAGGATCACCATCTCCATTAAATTTCTCTGCCCCTAACTTCCTAGCCCTCTCTATGGTATTCCTGTTCCTCGGATTCTCTTGTGCCTGACCACCCGTGGCACGAGTAAACAACCGGGCCAGTTTCCCAATGGCTCTCTCTATCCCAGACTCATTACTAGAAGAATGAATCTCTTGCTCCATCTCCTGTTCCATCCCCTGACCCCCTTTGGGTGCTTCTATATGGGGTCCTTGTTCGTGGGCCACAGAAGCCTCACCCTCTAACCCCACATTCTGATCCTCTTCTTGCCCTTGAGGATCACTTATTGCTCTTATTGATCGTGTGCGCAATCGGCCTTGTTTACGCATGATGATATCTATAAAATCAATTTAACTTGTTAGAATACAAAACATGTATGCATACTTGTGCAAATGCACTCAAAATCCAAAACCTAGGCTCTGATACCAATCTGTCACGCCCCCTCCCGAGTATCCCTATCCCACCGGATCCGGGCGCTCCAGGAGACTCAAGATCCCGAAAGGAAGGTGAATACTCTTTTAAAAAAAAATATTCATAAAAACAATTTCGTCTATAGACGAAAGTGAAAAGTAGTGCATTTGCATGTTTAAGGTTTAGAAGGTGGAAATACACAAATAATTATTCTAAAAACAGGAACTGAAATCCAGTTACAAAAGAAACATAGTATCAGAGTCCACTAAAGTTTGTAAAAGATGCAAATCATCATGCGTCAAGGCCAACCTAGAGCGTAGAGTATGCTCCACACGAACCCGATCTACGGTCCTGGGGGAGGAAACATAAAACAGTGAGCTGGGAAGCCCAGTGAGCGGATAATATAGTTTATACGAAAATAACTTTAACTTTGAAAACATGTATGAATAATTGTATGCCACACAACACTAGTGTACTTACATGATAAGGCCACAACAATATATATATATTATTCTCGGATGCCATGAAATCACACACCACTATCATATTAAATAAATCAATTATCACCATCCTACTAGCCCTTAGGGGCCAAGCTTATAACTATCTGAACCAGTCCCTAACTCAGACATGAAGCTACACCACCCACAGTCTACCCTCGGGGTGGCACCATCCGCAGTCTACCCTCGGGATGGTACGAACATCATTGGATAACCATGCTCAACCCACAGTCTACCCTCGGGGTGTCATGATATGGTATCAAATATAATCTCGCCCACAGTCTACCCTCGGGGTGTCATGATATGGTATCAAATATAATCTCACCCACAGTCTACCCTCGGGGCATCCAAAATCCCACACCGGCCAATAACCGCCTGGTGTAATCCCGCTTGGAGCTCGTCAGGCATCCGTCTTGTTCTAGTAGGATATACCAATGGTTCGGTAGGACGGACCATCTCAATGCGCGCATGAGGATAAATATCAAATACTAGCTGATGTCTAGAGGGGGACGGTTACGGTTTCCAATCCGAGGAGTCAAACATAATAATAATCATGCATATATGACATAACATTCAAAAATCACATCCAAGGGTGAAATTGAAAATTTCCAAACATGTTTTAAAACTGACAATTTAACCGAGATTAAAAATTACTTCCACATCACATGATCTTAGCATATAACCGATACAAATCATAAGCAAATATCACTTTTAAAAGTCAAAACTCATATAACACGTTATAATGATAATTAAACCCGAGAGCAATAATAATAACAATAATAATAATAAAATTTCATATAAGGATAAATCATGCCAACATATGAGATTTCATGGAAAATAGGGGGGTAAAATGCAAGTTTTTAAAACATACTTTCAAAACTGACGAAAAGCACCCCATTTCCCCTTTTTACCGAGAAGATTTTTGTACCACATCCTGTATATAAATAAAACCTCACATGCATAACTCAGCACACCATCCAATTAATCAGATCTGTAAGTTTCCAATTTCAACATCACATTAATTCTATATAATATAACACAAGTGCTAACCATTATCCACCCAAATTGACATGTGGTTTTTCAGAGAACACCTATTCTTTCTTTTGTTAACTGGCATGCACTTAAAACCATCATATAAGCAGAATACATGAAACTTAGGAGTATAGGTTGCACGGGTACTTTCAAAGTAAAAAGAAATTTCGGACATTTCAAGTTGTTCCCTCAAACTAAACTTCCTTCAACAACTCAAACTATCTCCACCCATGAAACCAAAAATTTCAGCACTCAACCACAATCAAACAATTCTCCATAAGGCTCAACGAAGCATGGAAAAAGCAATGTTTAGTAAACTTTGCAATTAACTCAGAACTTACATCAAACAATAAAATGGAAAACACAACTTACACATGCAGACATGAATTCAAGCATTTGGATGCAATGTATCTCCATGCATGTAAAATCTTTCATATCTTAGAAACAAAACTCAACAAATCACACATGCACGCTTGAAATATGGAGAAAAGGGTTTGATTTTTGCCACTCAAAACATTATAATAGAAATAAATAACTTGACATGCAAACAGAAATTAAGTTTTTAAAACACTTTTTGGTTAATCCACTCACTCTTCTAATCCTATAATTGGCTGCCTATTACAGTGCTTGGATTTCGATCTCCACCGTTCAGAATGTAGAGCTGTGTTTCATGAACAACATATCCAAAAATCAGAACGATCGGACGGCAAACAAGCTGCAGATCACGATTTGATGATGCACTGTTCACAGACTCAAAATTCGAAAACTAATATATCCTCTCCCTTTCTCTCGTCTCTTCTTCTCTCTCACTCTGCCATTTTCAGCCGCACTCATTCCCCTCTCTTCTCCTTTTTCTTCTTTCCTTGTTCTTCTTCTTTTTTTTTTTTTTTTGCTTTGTTTTTACTCTCCCTCAGCTCACGTCTTCTTCTTCTTCCTTTGGGCGAGCTGCCCAGTTTCTTCTTTTAAACAAAAACAGCTTTCTGAAATTATTTCTGCCCCCAATTTCTCTGAATTTCAGTTTAACCCTGCCACATAAGCTTTCCCTAGCAAAAATGTCCAAATTTTTCCCTCTTGATACATGCAATCCCATCAGGATTTATTTCTTCGATTTCACCCCTTAACACAGCTTTAAAAACTGACAGAAATACCCCTATCTTACCACAATACCAAAAATCAAATTAAAAAAAAAAAGAATTAATTAACTAAATACAATTCATGATCTAACTAAAATCAGGAATGGGGTTTTACATGGACCGTTTGAACAAGTACAGTCATTTCCTCACTTTGAAGCATCCGTATACGACTAGGGATGTTGCAAGCTTATTCGTTAAAGAGATTGTCCGGTTACATAGATTTCCTCATTTGATTGTCTCGGATCGAGATCGAGTGTTTATTAGTCATTTTTGGGGTGAGATGTTCAAGTAGTTGGGAACACAACTTCTAATGAGTTCCGCCTATCATCCTCAAACAGACGGTCAATCGGAAGTAGTAAACCGTTGTTTGGAAACATATCTCTATTGCTTTGTTAGTACTCAGCCCCGGCAGTGGCCCAAATGGATTCCTCGGGTAGAGTTTTGGTTTAATACTACGTTCAGCAGCTCAATTGGCATGACACCCTTCAAATCACTTTATGGCCGAGACCCCCCAGTCATCCTTAAGCATTCTGAACATTCCTCCACATTTGAGGAGGTGAACTAGTAGGTGCATGACCGAAACACTATCCTTCAAGAACTAAAAGAGAATTTGGTCAAAGCTCAAAATCGAATGAAGCACTTTTGCAGATGCCAAGCGGAGAGAAATCAACTTTGAAGTGGGGGATTCAGTTTATCTCAATCTACAGCCTTACCGCCTTCGTTCCTTGGCTCATCGTTACAATGAGAAATTGAGTCCGAGGTTCTATGGCCTTTTTGTGATTACTGAAAAAATTGGTTCAGTAGTTTACCGACTGCAGCTACCTTCCACTACCCGGATTCACAATGTGTTTCATGTGTCCCAACTTAAGAAGACTACTTTCCCACCTTCAAATGTCCAACTACTTCCAAATGCCCTAGATGAGGACTTGATTTTAGCTATTGAACCAGAGGATGTGTTAAAGAAAAGAAAGTTGCTAAATGGTACTTAGGAGGTCTTGATCAAATGGAAAGGGCTACCGAACTTTGAAAATACTTGGGAAGAGTTCTCCACTATCCATCTTCAGTTTCCATCCTTTCACCTTGAGGACAAGGTGACTCTCCTTAGGGGGAGTAATGATGAGAGCAACAACACATTAGTGTATGAGAGGAAAAATAAAGGTGTAAAAAAGGGGATGAGGGGCTAAGTGTCAAGCTGTATGCGTGAGGTGTGGGTGGTATTAGCTTTATGGTAAAGTGACAAGTGGCAAGTGTTGATTGATGGGGAACTGAATTCGGTTATAGTAAGAGAGTACGAAGAATAAAAGAGAATGGGAAGGATCTATCTGCATCATTGCTAAATTGTAAAAAAGGGAAAGAGGTTGGGGGAGGTGCTGGCCCTCAAAGTCCAACCGGTTTCTTTTTCTGTATGCAAATTCATCTTAAATGGGTTGGTTTATGTTTATCTTATGTTGCGCTTAATTTTAGTTGTAGATGAACTGTTATTAGAGTAGTGATGTCACAGAGTTGTTATTCAATATAGATATTAAGATTATTCAGTATTGTTTGTATTTTTCAATTGTTTTAAAATGGTTAAACTGTCTGGTGTGACAGGAAATTCTGGGCTATTGACTATTGAAGTTTCAAAGTGATCTAGGAGGTTGTTTGTGAGTGATGTTTTGCAGGAGAAGCTTGGGGTTTCTATCAGAATCCCAATGTTAATAAACCAAAAATGACGAGTGATGATCGAATCTGGTTCATGAAAAATACACTCCGAAAAAAGAAAAATAAAAAGAAAGAAGACACACCTGCTAATTATTGCCGTCTACAGGTAGAGGTAGGAGAAGGTGTTTGGCGAGCCCAGGATCAGGTTGATTCTTATCAATTTTAAAGCAATAGGTGCCCAAAATGTTCTCACCAGAAACACCCAATAAAACCTGCTCAAAGCAAAATGTCTTGAAATTGATTAAAATTAGTCAGCAGTGACCACGAATTTTTAAAAGCATTCTACCAACCAACTTCTCTAATCAAATACCTTATTGAGTTTTATCAGGTACATGGACCTAAGGGGTTGATTTACAGCTGTATAATATGCACTATCAAAACTATGAATGATTTCCTTTTCTCAAACAACTCTAACTAATACAGCAATAGAAGTTACAAATCAAATACAAAGTAGGACAAAGAAAAATGATTTTCTAGTTGCACACTCTGTCAGCAGCTATCACCCTTCTAACCCATTAGAATAGATGATAGTATCTCTCCCATAGTCCTATCAGATGTGTCACCTTCATTAGCTACCTCCATACCAGACTCAAGAACCGCAGCATCCAAAATTAGCTTCCGTTTTGCTATCTCGTAAACATTCTCATCAACCGTCCCCTTGGTTACCAGCCTGCAAAGGGCTTGAGCTGTTGAGCGTATAAAGCAAAACCTTACACAATAATACTAAGAAAAAATGCCATAGTGGACTGCGTGCAGGGGAAAGCAGGAAGAGGAAATTTTAAGGCACCTGTATATGGTGACAGGCTTTGTTTGGCCAATACGATGACAACGATCTTCTGCCTGTCGATCAATCTGTGGATTGAAATCCATGTCATGGATGACAACAGTATCAGCACCAGTCAAGTTTAAACCTTGGCCACCAGCTCTTGTGGAAAGCAAGCAAGCAAAGATGGAAGCATCACTATTGAAAGTATCAACTATAGCCTGCCTCTCTGACACCTGAGTACTGTCATCGGAAGCATTCACAAATTAAAATATCCGCATATTTAGCAAATCAAATGAACAATAAACAGACGTTAAAACCCAGAAACCCTATGCTACGGTAGTAATGAGAAGAAAAGGAGGAAAGCAGAAATGTCAGAGTGTGCACACAAACACAGACACAGGGAAAAAGAAATTAATTGTGGTTCTGAGCATTTCAAATACATTGAACCCAATCATAAATCATTGTAACTCTTTAGAAAATGACCCAATGAAGTTCATACAGAAACCAATTTATGAGAGTGAGAGAAACACCAGGCAATATCTAGAATTATTCAGGACAAGACCCAACCAGGCAGAACAAATTCATGAACTAAGTCTCTTGAAAGTTTGATCCGCTAACAAAAACATTCAACAAAAATCTTAATCGCTTTTCTACCTGAGCACATAAACTCCATATTTTTTTCAAATAACAATACTTTAGTGCTCTTTTTTTATCTACCATATTCATGAAACTTCGTCTGAAGAAAGTCACTATTTTATTCAAATGTGACAAAGCAGCGAAAGAAAGATTTCAAATGTGCCATTCAACAACAAAATAAAGAAATTTCAAATAGCCCACAACTCCAGGAGTTTGATGGTTACAATCCTCATTTCAGCTTAATGATATAAAGATATATTGGCAAATGGTAACCAAGAATTAATAATGATAAGCACAAAAGAACAGTACCTTCCATCAAGTCGTCTATATGTAACTCCAATCACATCCAAAGTCCACTCTAAGATATCAAGCATTGATGTCCACTGGCTAAAAATCAAAACCCGGTGGCCACCTTTCTTCAGAGAGGGAAGAAGTTCAGCTAATGCCTGCAATGTACACACAGCTAATTAGTTCAAATATAGAGATAAATATATAATTCCAAGAAATTTACTGACAAAAAATTACTGAAACCATACCCGACATTTTGCAGAAAGCATAACATGTTTTTCTGAAAGAATTCCCTTGGTATCAGCACCGCCATAAGAGTGTAAAAGCTGCAACTATGTCTATTAGTAAAGGTATGGAAGACAGAATTGAATAACAAATCTTACAGTGTGCTAAGTCTTGCAGGAAGTTCAAAACAAAACAGATTCTGGTCATTGGGAGAAAGACACAAATACATATTACTGACCTTCCCTAAGGTTTGCTCCAATCCAAACACCTCCTATAGTTTCAAAATTAACTTTCACCTACTCCATCTTCAAAGAATCTCCACCACATTTAAAATAACAAGAAAGGTTTTATATGGTTTTTGAACAGTGACAAGGAAGGTCTTAATTAAAAACCTGAACAACTGATAAGTTGATTTTTTATTAAATATAATATTTATATAATATATTCAATGTTTATTAAGGGAAACTCAAAATTAGTAACTTTTGTGTGTGTGTGTGTGTGTGTGTATATGAACAACTTCAAAATAAAGAATTACCTGATGAATAGAAAAATCATTGTAGCTCTTAAGCTCCTCTATCACTCGGTCCAAGGTACATTCAAATCCAAATGCACCCATAGGATGTAACTTTCTAGCAAATCGAACAACATCGTCATCAGAGTAGATTCGCCTCACTAATAAAGGATGATTTGCAATCTGGAATAAGCATGAAAATTTAGAAAACAAATCAAAATAAGCACAAGGAATATAATAAGAAAAAAATAAAAGTTTATTTTGGGAACTGTAATATTAATCTGCAGCACCTTACGGAACTGAACAAAATAGTTGGAAATCTGACGTCGAGGAAGAACTCCAACAATATTATTCAAATTAGGCTCATAAAGCTTAGCAATACGAGCTCGTGACGCAGCCCGATACTCCTCTATGGCTTCTCTATAAGCATCATCCTGCTGTTTTTCCATTATAACATACTCAACCTGCAGGGAAAAAAAAAATTACTCAGATTTCCCACAATACAGAGAAATTTGAATAAATAAAATATGCAAAGTTCAAATTCTAAACTCAAACTTAGAGGGATGTTGGAAAATTCGGCACCTTAATGGAAACCTCAAGTAAGCATCAATTATACCTGCTGTATCTTTGGGACAAGTTGTTGCATTACATCAGATTTTAAACGCCTCAAGATGAATGGTCCTAAAATGGACTTCATTCGACCTATTAAGTCTCTATCTTCTGCGTTTAGTAGTTTCTTCAAATCTACATCCTCAGTAGCAAAAAGATCGGGCATCATGAACTCCAACAATGACCAGAGCTCCTGCCATGATAACACACCAATTCAATAAAGACATCACAAGTAACTGAATAATGAATACATTTAACAGCAATGTTTCCAAGTACATAAGGATCAGCAGTACAAAATGCTACTCCATTATGAAGTAAATCTAGCCAGATCATCATAAACATCGGTAACAGTTCACTATATGATAAATTTTTACCTCAAAGCAATTTATTAAAAAATAAATCAACTTCCAACAACAAGAAGTCCAATATCATTTTGAAATTTAAAGGGGAAAAGAAATCACTACAAAGGACAAGATGTCTCATCAAGCAGGTTAGCTAGAAATGGATGAGATTAAAGTAAATTCATCTAAACTCAGAACTGCTTAAGATGCAAACAGAAAAAAAGTCCCTTTAGATCTCCTTTGATAATGGCCACCTGTAGCTCATCTGAAAAGATCTCACAATTTGTAACTCAAGAACCCTATCCAACTTAACAAATGAGGCACCACATCCAAATCAAAACTGGATGCATAATCAAATCCCTAAAACTCCTGGGCTTCACTTTGACCTGTTGACGGCAAAAAAGAAGTCCAACTGCCTGAAGTTTACAATATACAAACCAAATTTATGCGACTGCACCTTCTTACTTCTTCATACTATTTTTGTGTCAAGTGCATAAAGCCTTGAGAAATTTGAATCATTTCAAACATGTAACTCCTTGTTTTTATTTCTCTCTTCTTTATTATTATTACTATTCTTGTTTCCTTTTTTATTTTATAGCAAGGTATCCATAAGATATCTGAAGTAAAGACAGAACCTATGAATGGCCAGTACGCTGTGCAGTATGTAATGCACCTATGAGAGTTTTAAGTTTATGAATATTGGAATTTCAGGCCTAATCAAAATAAGAAAAGTATGATATTTAACAATATTTCAAACCCAGTAGAATAACACAAACATGTCACTCCTGTGTCTTATGTTAGCATTTTTTCAGTAAGAAGCATCTATGATAAAAGTTAGCTGTATTAGAAAATAAACATAAAGAAACAATTATTAGCTGTAGTATAAAAGTGAAACAATAAGGCAAACACAGAGAGAAAGAAAAGGAAAAGGCAATTATTAATCGTACATGTAAATCATTTTGTAGTGGCGTCCCTGTCAGCATTAGTCGCTGGTTTGCATTTCGAGCAACAGACATTAGATTCTTCCACCTATAGCTGTTTTTATCCTTCAAAGCATGAGCCTCATCCATCAACACACAGCTCCAATGCCAACGTTTCAGAAATTTACGGTCATCTTTCTGCTGCACACTGTACAGACCATCAATGATAAGCATTAAACTTAACATGCAATTGAATCTATAAATAGTTCCTTGAACCACAATAAACAAACCTGTGACGTTCAAAAAGAGAATAGCACACAAGAAGCACATTAAACGGAGGAGGCAATCCAGCTTTGGCCAAAGAGCTCAACTCTTTTGAATAGGCTGTTCGTGCAGCCCCATGATACTGGAGTATAGAAAATGATGGACACCATTTCTTTAGTTCTCTCTCCCAATTTTCCAAAACAGAGGCAGGACATACAATTAAGTGGGGTCCAGGGTCATTATTCAAGTGCTTTAGAAGCATCAAATATGTCACAGCCTATTAAATAAAAGCATTATCACTCAGTTAACATTACAAAAATTACTAATATTGCATAGGAAAATTAATAGAGCTTCACACACCTGAATGGTCTTCCCAAGACCCATCTCATCTGCCAATATGGCTGCAGGGGATACAAAAGTGAGTCATTAGGGATCATTTTAAAATACGACTAGCATTAAATACTATAAGTTTAGAGAAACAAAAGAGCAACATATGATGATACTGAAAATAATTAAGACTCAAAAGCTGCAAGTAATAACATAGACAACGACATTCAAGAAAATACTGCTTTCTACATCATTACTGTTCTTTTCTCAACAGTGAAATTGTCTAGGGCAATAAAGTTTTATCTGGAGAGCCTTTTTAGGCAGTCAATAAGAAATAAGTCAACAACAATGGACCAGTCAGTTTGAATGACCTCCCCTGATATGAGGCCTAACTACACTTTTTTTTTTTATATTTTTATAATAAATTACACTCTGATAACATTGGCTATGTAATTAGCCAAAGGTCCTTACATTAATGGAGTTTCGATAAAAAGTAAAACACTTGTGCATCTTATTTCCCTCCATCTAGTTAAGTCTTACCTCCATCAAGCCTCACTAGTATCCCACTTCAAATACTGCACCACCTGCTACCACCGGAAACATCACCTAACATTGGTGCAGCACCTCCATATCCCAATAAGTCATGATGACCTCAATACACATCACCACAACTAAACCCCAGTGAAACCCCGCCACCTCACTCCATGAGGCCAGCAACCCTACTGAAGGATCTAGTAACACCACCAAATCACCTCCATGTACACCATCACATAACATGCCTAGACCAAAACTGCCTAGATACATTACCCAGTGCAGCCAAAACACAAACCCAACCAAGAAAATAACCCACGCCTTTATGGGGCACCAGCACAAAGTATCACAGTTAGTTGGCTATATACCATAAAAACAGCTATGTCCGCACCTGCATAATCCTCGCAAATTCTTTTACATTTCTTTATCCAAATGACCTAATATACAACAATCGCCACATATTTCCATAGGATCAAAGCCTTCTTCCTTCCTCTAAACGTTGAAAATTCTCCACCATTCACAAAGCAATATAGTATAGAAAGAGACGATCAACACTTTCAGCCCCCTTCCACGTAATGCACTGATGCCATAACAAACACACAAAAGACCTTATTCTACATTTTTTTCACAAGTATTAACTCTGCCATTTGCTAGACACCAAGAGAAAACTAAACTTTACTAGGAACCTTTGGTCTTCAAAGCTAGAGGTATCAGAGTAATCATAGATGCCAAAATGTAGTACAATCGCAAGTAAAAGGATATAGAAGAATTACCTCCCCCAATGCCCTTTCGATACAACAAGAGAAGAAAATTGACACCAACCAGCTGATAGGGCTTAAGAACTGGCTGGAAATCCTCATCCTCATCCCCACATGCTTCATCAATATCATTCTGCAATAAAATAAAAATAGAAAGCCTATTACCGACCAAACCAACAGGAAATATGGCAAGAGGCTTTCAACAACTTAGCTGAAGTAAAATAAGAAACGTCAACTTTTAATTAATTTCCTCATCAATCAAATGTTCCTCCACTAAAAAACCTAGAACTTAAGCTACCGCATTTCATAATAAACCTTAGAAAAAATAAGCCAAGCACAACATTTCTACTACCAAATCACGGTAGAACATAAAATTCGAAGAAACAGTACCTGAGTCACAATCCTAACCGAGGAAGCTTCAACTTCCGAGTAGCGATCACAAGCGGTACCAGAAGTACCATATAACTCTCTTTTAAGCTCCGCCGATATTTTAGCGCATTTTGCCAAAGCGTTTCCAACCACATCATCCTCCTGTCCATCATCTTCTAATACTTCTTCTTCTTCAGTCGAAGACTTTACTTCATATACTTCAGCAAAATCTCCCTCGCTCCGCTGTTCCTCATCATCGTCGTCTACAATGAATCGACGGCCACGATTGTTCGCGGCGGACGGTGGCCCCTCCTCCTCTACATCGTCATCCTCGAGATTTTCGTCTAAATTTTGGCGGTGACTATCGGCTTTAAAAGCGAATGATTCGATTGAAGGAGGAGGTTTTGATGCCTGAGTTTTTATTTTGAGGACTCGAGACGGCTTGAAGGAATGGTTTTCCCATTCGTCGTCCGAAATTTCGGCGAATTCTCGCTTCATTATTCCGTTTTCTTATGCAATTGCACGCGTCATTGCTGAAAAAGCCCTAAGCTTTAACTTAATATTGCAGAATCAAAGAGAAGAAAAACAGGCGGTACAATTAAGTGACGAGCGCGGGCCAAAAATATTTGGTCACTTTCGGACAAATATCATTTACCCCTCAAGGTCTTACAAACCAACCCACGTATTTTGAAAAATGACAATTTCACCCAAACAGTTGATAGTATGGTTGTTGAAAACAAATACTGGTGAAATTATTTAATCTTTAATGCTTTGAAAAGATGATCAATCAACATCTAACCAACATTGGACATACAAAGTATAAAGTAAAGTAAAGCACACCAAAAATTTTTACATGGACCAGCTAAAAACCATTTTAGCCTACATCCATGAGACCAAGTCCAACCCAATCAAATCCACTATAGCAACAACTCAAATGTCAACACAAACCTGAAATTAAATACATTAAAGTAGACACTTCTTGTCTGCACAATTTAACTCCACACTCTTGATTGAACAAATGCATAGCTATGATCTGATTGAATCCAAGCAACCACTTCGATAGCTCAAGCACCTCTTGAACTTGGATAGTCGAAAACACCTTTCAGCTCACAAGCTTGAACTTCCTTCAAGCTTCAATAAGGAAACACGTTCCACAATACTCAACAACAGATTATAAATCGTCAAGGAAATCACCAACAAGAAAGGAACCAGACTAAATATACTCTCTAAATTTTCAGAGCTCAAAAAGATAGAATATCTAGGTTCAAAGAGTAAGGAAGTAGAAGATGAGTTTAAATATTCTTACTCAACAAATTTCAACAGTACACGTTGCAAAACTTTCCAACAACCCACATGCACTTTTTAACAACCCACATGACACCTATAAAGTAAACTTTTCACACAAGTTCCATGAAAGATTCAAGATTAAAATATCTTAAAACATAAGATGAGTGAGTGATGGACCCATGGTAACAAAACATATAAGCGAAGGGCAAAAAGGTAAAGGGTGTGGCTAACAGGTGGCATTAGGCATGAAGGGTGCGCGTAGTTAGTTAGGATCTAGTATCATGAGGAATAAAAGGCGGACGTGAGAGAGGGGTAGGGCATCATTTGAATTTGTGGGAATTATTTTCGAGAGGTGCAAACCCTTGAAGTTCAGCTTGCTTTTCATTTTGTTTCAGTTGCTTTCATTTTGATTCAGGAGTATTGCAATGAATATTTCTCTTCACTTTTATGCTAATTTGTTATCTTGAATTTGCTTATTTTATTGTTCAATTGGTCGGATTGGTGTGTGAATTCTTGGTGTTTGCTGTGAGTTGTGTGATTGTGTTCTGGATTGTGTGTGAAAAAGGTGTCTACAGAGGAGGTATTCATCAACTGGTATCAAAGCCGACAATTTTTGGGGTATGGTTACAAGGATGGAGTCAAGAATGGATAATGTTGAGAGGGAGGTGACTGGTGTTCAGAGAGATGTGATGCGATTAATAGAGAATGTAAATGCCATGAGGGAAATGTTGATTAAGATCCAAAATTGGATGCGAAGAAAGGATGAAGAGAAAAAAGCTCACAGGAGAAGTTTGTTGGGGGAATCAAGCCATTCAGGAAGAGGGAACCAACATGTTGAATATTTTGTCAAACTTATATTGTGTGTGTGCACTAACATTGTGTATGTGCACAGTTTTGTCTGACTTGCCTTTTTGCAATTTCATTACGAGTGTGTGATGAGTGGTGAAATGATATATATATTCTGTGATTTTATGAGTAGATTATAGGGAAGTCATGACTTTAATGGATTATTTTTATACAAGTTTCTTTATATATTTCTATTTTCAAGAAATCATGGGTATGTGTACGAGTTTCAGGTTTTTAGACGGAAAAATGGTGATTTTATACTCGCACGATGGTTGGAGGCCTTGGACGTGCTAAGAAAGAGAAATTAGATCATCAAGAGGAAGAAAGAATGTGAAATTATTGGATGGCGTTGTGGCAGGTTTTGCTCTGCTGTAGTGCGAAAATGTGATATGGGCAGAAGGTTCATGTTGCGGCATGAAGAATTCGGTGCCACGGTGTGGCAATGTTTTTAGCGATTGGTGGATTACGGGAGAATTTGGCGTCGTGGTGCCATAAAAGCATGCTACAGAGTGGATCGCGAAGAAAGGAAAAGTCTTACCTTTTCCAACTCCAACTTGGACTTGTACTTTCCCAAAAACACCCCTAGCAAAGAAAAAATATAAATAGGATGTTGTAAATTATTTTAGGGATCTTTTTTTACCTAAATTTAGAGTTACTTTTTAGCAAGCAAAAGAAGGAGATTCTTCCTAGGGTTTGGATTATTCATGCTTTTGGGGAAATTGAGGTTTGATTTCTTTTATGTCAATGTGTAAGTAAATTCTTCTCTAGGGATCCAATGTAGCCTAATTTTAAGGCTCTGTGTTTAAACATATATTTATTGTTATCAATTCAATGGAAATCTTAATTCATTCATTGTATTTATTCAGTCTTTAATTTTCATTATTGTGTGACGACCCTTAATGTGAATTATTAGGTTGTATGTATTAAGATTAGACATATATCATATGTTAGTCTTAAATAGCTCATGTGAATGAATGATTGGTATTTTGTGCATACACCTTGATAGAATATTAGTTGGTTCATGATTTCATGGATAATTCAGTATTTGTGCATACGCTCTGATAGATGGGCCTTTATTCATGATTTTGATTACTCATGCACTTAAAGGGTTTTTAATCCATAGGCTAGACTATACACTCTAGCTAGTCTTGCATTAAAGATACTATGTTAACTCCAAAAGCCTTACGGTAATACCTTGATTTAGTGAGTGCGAACCCTAGTGAGTGAATTGATAAACAATAGATAGATGGTTGACATAGAGCTGGATAGTTATGGTGAAATTGGAACCCTGGGTTTTAGATAATTTTTATAGTGGCTTAATTTTAGCTTTAATCAGTTGTTACTTTTGAAGTGATTTTCCATAATTCTTTTATATTAATTCTAGATATTAGTTTTAATTGAAGCAAAGTTATTAGGATTAATAAATTGCTTACAAACCTCTGTGGGATCGACCCTTGCTTTTGCACACTAGACTACTGTAACGCCCCACTCGAGGTATGTAGCTAATTTATGTTGCATTGCTTGCATCTTTATTGTTTTGCTCTTAATTGAGTTGGTATATTGTTCATATTGTTTGGTTGGTCCTTGGTTGAATGGATATTGTCAGTTGGTTGAGTGATTGCCCTGAAATTTATAAAGACTTGGCGAATTTTTGTTTTTCAGACTTTGCCGGGGCGAAGAAGAAGCTTCGCCGCAGCGATGAAGCCTTGCAACCTACGGTGTAGGTTCTGGAATTTTTAGCCGGGGCGAAGAAAGATTCTTCACTGCGATTCTTCACTGCGGCAAAGGGCATAACAAAATGTTTATTAAGTTTCTAGAGAATTCTTCCTTTGGAGCACAATGACCATTCTACTCCTAATTAGTAGGAAAAGTGGGGAGTGAAATGCAAGGAAATTGCATGAAGAATAGTTTAAATGGGGGTGCATTTGCAAAGAATTCAAAGGGCAAAAGTGGAATTCCTAAGAAAGAGTAAGGGTAAAATGGGAATGAATGAATATAGTTTGAGCTAAAAAGGGTTGAAGCTTAGTAAACCCTTCATTCATCCTTCTTCCACCGCCTCTTCCATTCTCCATTTCCTCTCAATTTTTCCTTCAAGCTTTCAAGGATTTTTGAGAGTTCTTAGTTGGATCTTGGTAGAGAATTAATCTAAGGCATCCTAAGGTAAGGATTCTTGCTTTAGATGTGAAGTTTTGCATATATTTGTACATTGAAGTCTTATAGTTTTATTGTTAAAATTGTAGAGAAGGGACAAATTACTAAGGAAAAGAGAAGTGTTAGTGGAATCACACCATTACAAGGTAAGTAAACCCCAATCCAAGTTGATATTTGAGAAATCCTTTGAGTAGAGATTTATTTATGCAGGATATATGTTTTGTTATTGAGAACTTTGTAACAACTCCTCTTTAGTACTATTCTTATAAAACATACTATGTAAAATATAGATATGTATATAATATGAAAGATAGTGGGCTCAAATTTTTCTTTACTCATAAAATATAATTCTTTACAATTACAAAAGACTATGTATTTAAAAACTTTCTAATTAATACAAAATATCATAGCTGGGTACAGTAGTGCCAATACTCTTCGCTCCTCGACGTCCATCCACGCTGCTCCTATTTCCTACAAAACAGAAGAAACAACGGGGTGAGCACAACAATGCTCAGTAAGTAAATCCTCTACTACTATCCCCCACTCACTCTTTGGTTCTTTCCTTACTTGACTGTTTTGCTATTTCTATTTCTCACTGTTTTTCTCTTTCTTTCTAATACTGTTTTCTCCTTTAACTCTGTTATGCTCTTTACTCTTTCTTCTCTCTGTTTCTTTTCTCTTATTCTTACTCACCTGAAGGACAATCATGGTTCTCTCTTATTCTCATCATACCACCATGAAGGAAAATCATGGTTCTCTCTGGTACAAGCTCTACATGATATTAATCGAAAGAACTGCATGTTTCTTTCTTCTACTCTTATCTTACTAGCTTAAACTTTCGCATTCTTTCTCATACTCTCTCTCTCTTTATATGTCATTCTTTCTCAAGCTTTCTCAAGCTTTCTCATCTTTAATTCTTTCTATTATCTCATTCTCATTTCTATTTCTCTTTCTCAACTCTTTTCTGTTAACTCTCTCTTTAGTAATCACGGCCTCATCTTACCGGAGGCACGGCCGGGACTCGCTCCCACTCTACGTGACTTCTACTTATTCTAGCCGATCGAACTTGGTTATGCATGGATTCGGAACCCTTGGCCACGTGAGTGTATACTCTCTCACGGGCTACACCACTTCTCTATCTGATACTCATGCGCCTCTCTCAATGCGGCGTACATGCGGCATACTCTACCCATTTCACAGGTTCCCCATCGCATAACCTACTCTATGCTCTTATCTCTTTCTTATTCTCTCATG